TATTATGTTTTGCACACACACAAACTCTTGCACTCTCTTAGATGCTTGCATCATTCACACTGACAGAGATCACGATCCCATTTAGCTGAATGTGTGGGCCATCTTCAGCCATCAGACATCTCTCAAACATATTACTGAGGCTGTGAAGGGCTAAAGACTCAGAGAGCAATGCGAGTCCTCTGCCTTATTAACTGTCAGTTGGAGTGAGTGATATTATGAGCACTGGCATGAGAAATAGAGAGCACTCATAAGAGTATCTTACAACAATATACAGCCTCAAAATTCTGCCATTGTTTAGTTTTCATGTTGTTTCAAATTCATACGCCATGATTTTATGCCCATTTTTGTCTAACTGCAATGAAGAAAATTATGCCTGTCAAGAGAAAGGGGACCTAAAAAGTCATTATGTTCATAAACTTTTCAGATTGTTTAAATGTGTACATTTTAATAAAACATGCAATAAGGCTGCATCAGAAATCGCATATTCTATTGAGTAGTTACACAGCGACTGCTAAAAACATTCTATATAACATGGATATGATCTGGACTGAAGGATTCGGATTTCTGCTTTCCAGTCCATCTCATCATGGACCAACGTTTATCCTTTTCATCATCCTGTTTCTTAGTATTTAACTGTGAATTGATTTTAATCAATGAATAAGTTAACACATTGCTTAATATAAGAATGTTCAGTGCATTTGCCAGTCTCTTTATAACTATTTTCAGGAGCCAGCAAACTAGGTCAGAGGTCATGGAGATCTTGAGTGGAACTGAGGACTGGAAGCAACTGTTTCTATTGTTATTTCTAGGAGTTAATACTGTCTAAAATGTCTAAAGTGATTTTGCTATAGTTTTACGGTTAAATCTTTTAAAGTGATTCTACTTTTTATTCAAGATAGACTTTGTGTAGTAAGAATATAACTGCCTGAATGTAGATTATACCAGTTTTTAACCAGTTTTGATAAAGACGGCTGACGGTACACTCAGCCTTGGATAAGAAACAGATTATACTTAAAGTGTGTGTGTTCTATTTGATTGTTGATCCGTTTCACAGGTCTGGAGTCAGCTCTATTCAGTCTAAAGTGTGTCTGACGTTTATGTTTAGATACTGTTCAGAATTGTACGCGCGAACCTCACGTGGAAATGTTCCTAGTCTATCTGTGTTTTAACCAATCAGGTTAGAACACCTTTATGTATGACGCAGTTAATGACGTTATGTGAGAGTATAATTGTTATTGATTGGTGATTGTAAGCAGAGCGGCCTAGGAACTCATTGCGAGTGTTGAAGCTGGGTTCTGCGGATGAAACTGCAAACTATCTTCAGTAAACTTGATTTATTTATTTAAATCTCTGACTCCGGCTCTTCTTCATCTACCAGACTGGTCATTCTTTGGGTTAAACTGTAAACTATCCCTACAGGACGTACTACATTTGCCAAGTTGTCTTTATCAAATGCCCTGTGTCAGTTATGTTGCTTCACTGCCATTCCTCTCCTGTGGCCTCATTGAATAGAAAGTGTTCATACACTTCAAAATTTCTCTGGAAGTAGTAGGAAATCTGAGTACATTTCGCCTACACTTTAATAAATACTGTGACATAGGCCTCACATACTCCCTGCTTCTGAATATGCATACTTCTTGAAAGAGCCAATTATGCATAATTCATTTGTGATAATAATTTAGTTAAAAAGGTTAAAACATGATAAAAATTGATATTTAAATATAATAAGAATTCATTGTGATTGTATTATCTAAAATGCATAATTTAGTAATTGATATAATTAAAAAACCTTTAATTTGGTATTTTAGCTTCCGACAGTAACACGTCATGAGGTCATTAGTTCATACGTTTAAGGCAGATTGCAGTTATGGATGTTGGAAGCAACACAGTTTTTTGACTGAGCTGATCGAGTCTATTGTAACTTTGTATTTTTGTTTGCATTTCTTCAGTAAACCTTTTTTAAAAGAAGATTGGGTCTTACTCGCGTTTTTGCAAATACTGGTTGTTGAAATAGAAGCTGCAAAATGTGGTACATAAGGATTTGCAAGAGAGGTGTGCCACTACACTTATATACTATATAGTAGGCAAAGTGTATATATATATATATATATATATATATATATATATATATAGAGAGAGAGAGAGAGAGAGAGAGAGAGAGAGAGAGAGAGAGAGAGAGAGAGAGAGAGAGAGAGAGAGAGAGACTGAAAGAGAGAATTTTCCAGCTGAGAGGAACAGAATGAGCTTGTAGGAAAGAGAAAAGACAACACCCCACATCACAGTTCATAGTGCAGAGGTTTAATTTAGACTGAGAAACAAATAAAAAACTATACATTATATAGATCTAATTGAACAGACAACAAACACTCAAACACAGACACCAACAGATGGCAGTGTGTGTCTAAGACTTAAATCGATAGTTCAGGTTTAATGATGTGTTTATGCTGGTTGGCCTAGTTCTGTCACTGACCCCTACTGTTCAACTCAGAGAAAGAGGATTTAAAGGCAGGTCAGTCCATAAATCCTTCGGCGTTTATTTATATTGTTTAAGGTTTCGAGTCTTATGTTATGAAATTGTCATTTGAAGAGAAAAAAGTACTCAAAATACCAAATGAGGTATTGATTTTTTTTTTCTTTTAAGTCGGCTAATTGTGTTGCCACATTTGAAAGCATCACATGTTTCTACTACAATGCTTTTCAGTGTTGAAAAATGTAGCCAATCACAGAAATATCTGATGCTTTATTGAACACAACAGCCAGTCAGAGGTGTTTATGTTTTTCAGAATCATCTCGGTGCTCAAAATGAGTTTTCGTTACACACACACATACGTTCATCGCCACTTTTTTGCTTGGTTTGGGACTTGTGGAGCTGGGCATTGATAGATTTGCTCTTCAGCAGGGAAAGTTAAACCACACTGGGCAGAACTATACTGAACTTCAACTCTAAAAACTGGACTGACACAGTTTCTATTTACAAAGAACTTCTATGTTAAGCAGCTTTGACACAATCTAAATTGTAAAGCACTATAGAAATAGATGAATTGAATTGAAAGAAAGATGAACACAAACCTGTGAATCCACTCATCATATCAGTGTAGATGTTGTAGATAGAACTTAAAGATGGCAACAAAATACATTACAAATTGCTGGAAAAACTACAAGAGAGAGAAGCAGCAATATAAGGGTTATAAACATCTGGAATTCTATTAGACAATCATAATGCGACAAGAACAAAATTAAAATCAGATTCTGTTTTCAACAAACTTTCATAATTGTGCTCAATCTGGACAAGCCTCATCAGTCTTAATCTCACACCGGGATGTCATGTGACTCCAGTCTGACATGTCCTAATTACAGCTAAGATTATAGCTTCTTTGATAATATATAGCTAATCGAGGATCAGCCTGGCATTCTCAGAAACCCAAAGGGAAAATATGGAGGGAAATAAAAGTGCGCAGCTCCATCTGAGACACACTGCACCTGCTCAAGGACATTTAGAATGTTATACCACTTCACCGGATGTGTAGCAGCAGTCCAGGTCACCTGCCAAGAAGTTAAGCTGAGCACACTCAAAAGCGGCTTACTGTCTTTATCAGATCATCTGTGTTTATGTGCTTGCCGAGAAACCAAAATACCCAAAGAAAGTCGCCCTCTTTACGGCCTTTGCATAGTATTCCAGTCTTACAGACAATAACATTAGATTACTTCTCACTTTTCAGACACAAAGAACTGTTTGCAGTTATGTTAATGATCTATGATAAAACATTTGTTTTTGTTGTTAATAGGTCATGTTTTATTTAATGTACACCCCTTTATGTACATCAAGACAGGAAGGGTGAAATTTGAACCACTATTAACAGGATAGTTTACCCAAAAATGAAAATGTACTGTATTTCCTCACCCTGAATCAACTGTTAAACACAAAAGGAGATATTTTGAAGAAAGCTGTAACCCTTGATTTCCATAGAAGGAAAAACAAATACTATAGAAGCCAATGGTGACAGGTTTCATCAAAATAACTTCTTTTGTGTTTGATAGAAGACACTCATAAAGCTTTAAACAAGTAAAGAGCAAGTAAATGATGAATTATGGGGGAATTATCCCTTTTAGGAGTGCATTTCCCAAGGGCAATAGTCAACTTTGGTGCCAAGTTCCATCCCAGCATAACCATTGATTCAATGAACATTCACAAATAGCATGGCAAACTTGCATTGTTGGAACTTCAACTCTCAACCTGTGGTTAGACACATAGTTAATATAACTTATTGGCAGATCATGAACAATATAAGCAAGTTAACACACAGTACAATCTATATATCATTCACTGCATATCTTCTACATCTTTATTCACACTTCAGTGGTTGTGACTACAGCCTTCAAACTGAGATTAAAAGCATAGATTCTTCCTAACATGACATATTGGTTTACACTAATCATGAAAATGGGCCAAATAAGCAAGCTTACATAACCTTTATCTTTCATTTAATGCATAGAAAGTTTCAGTGTGAAAATAGAAGAAATGGAGTCAACATAGTTTTTTATAAATGCATATTATCTGTGTGATGTCACTAACACTATTACCAGCCAATGTGGATTAGACAATGCCTTATAAAAATGTACTATCATTTGTATAATCAATGATCCTAAAAATACATGGTTAGTGTGGTAAAACCACAGTTTATTTGTGGTTACCATGGTGTAACTACAAAAAGCCATGTTTTTTGGGTGTAAAAGGAGCACATGTGCAACACAGTTCAGTAAAAAAGTAACGACTAACTAGTTAGATTCTCCAACAATGCATTGTGTTAGTTCAGCAGCGAGTTAGGTTTGTTTGGGAAACACACCCCAGACTGACTGCCATGTGCCTAAACACCATGTGAGGGCAATAATCAGATAATTCTCTTCTGATCTGATTGGATAAGTTAAACCTCCCGCAGAGCTCCTAGAATGCCCTGATATTTGATTTCAGCAAATGACTGGACAATATAAAAAAGCATTCATTTACAATTAAACAAGTTTTATTCACAATAACAATCACTACGCACCAAACACTGTCCTAAAATCTTACAAGTAGTTGAATTGTATTTTTACAAAAAAAGAGAAAAAATATATTTGTAATAACTCTACACTATTTACATAGACACGCAATTAGAATTAAAATAAAATAATTACAAAAAATTACAGGTTTGAGCATAGAGTTTCAGTCTCTGGCCTGGGACATTTTGTGGAGTAAATGTGCAGATTTCAAAAGCACAGGAGCTCCCAGCAGTGGGAATGCAGAAGTCGCAGGTCAGGGTTTAGCTGCCAGTCTCCTCAACTCCTGGGGCCTTCGAAAGCGTCCCCTCACCCTGTACCTGGCCTTCTCTCTGGACACATATGTTGCTAGTCTCCTAAACCTGCATAAATCAGCCTTTCCTTTCAGCGCGGTTGAAACTGTGTGTTATCTGATGCTGAACTAACAGAGCACTCATCATTAGGTAGGTCAAAATATCATTTCATTTTTGCATAGCCCTTTCCCAAATCTCAACCCTGGTACTTCAAAAATAAATATAATTTTATTTTATTTATTTTTTTATTAAAGCTTCTAACTCTTTGTCTTTCAATTCACCTGTCAAAAATATCATTCTCACATGTACACGTTTCATTTCTAAATTTAAAAGACACCTGTCTAGTTTTCGTAAAATGTAAAAAGTGTTTTTTTTTATTTGTCTTACCTGAAAAATGGGTTTCTTTTTAATAAATACTCTTCATACTGAGGCTAGTTTCATACTATTCCAATCCCTGACTAGCCATTCTTAGGTTGAATATCAACTCAAATATGAAATATCAATAGAACAAAATAACTATAAAAGTGTCTACAAAAATTTGTGTAGCAAAGTACAAAGTCAAAAGGGGAAAGCAAAACTGGTATAATTACAAATGGACAGATAATTTTCTATTTAAAGCCCCTCATTGCATGCCAATCACCTTAATATGAGTTTGTCAAACACCAATTGAATTAATTTCCTTCACCAGTTCTTCATTAGTTGGCTTTGTCTACACTTTGTGTAGTGTGAGTGATATAGTTACAGTTTTAGGCTGTGTCCCACAGCTCTCTATCTCAGGTAAGTGTGGCCAGAGTTTGGTTGGCGGAGTTCATTCAGCTGGCAGTGGCAGCAGCCTCTTCATTCGTCCCCTCATCCACCTGATTGCCTTTGCCCATGGCCTTCATCTTAGCCATGATGTCAGTGAAGGTCTCTTTAACCGTTTTCTCCAGGATCCAGCCCTCGCTCTCGCTCTCGGGGTCTTCTGGGTTGACCAGTGTGGACAGAGAGGTGTTTATGTACTGAAGTCCAATCATTACAGCGCTCTGCAGAAAAGCATGAAAGATATGAGTTGATTAGCGGCACAGAAATAAATATATTTGTTCTTATGAGTGAGGTGTGACTCACATAAAATATGTCAACAATATATTTCTTAATTAAATCAATTAATCGATCAAGAGTAAATGTATTATGACTTTTTGTAGTTCACAAAAGATGCTGAATATTTCAATTTACATTTGACAAACCAAACATCTGGGTTATTTTTTTTTTTTATTTTAAATCAAAGGTTGGGTTTGACCATACTTTACATAAATTTGGTTTAAAACAACCCAGTGTTTAATTCCTTACTATAATTATATGTATAAAATATTTTATGGCATCAATAAAACATGTAAATAATAACATTTAAAATATATATAACCATTGTTATCCTTTGGCGATCCATAATTGGTTGTTTTAACCCAAACTGTGGTAAAATTTGGACCAACACAACAGTTAATGTATAAAACGTATTTTTTTAAGTCAAATTGAGTTGAAACAACTCAGCATTTATTAGTGTCAAACTCTAAAATTGCTTGGTTATTTCAACCCAAATTTGGGTGAAATGTGGACAAACCCAACCATTAAGGTCAGGTTTATCCCAGCAGTTGATTTTGACCCATATTTGAGCTGAAATAACCCAGCATTTATAGAGTGTATATATCTTTCTATGTGGAAAAACATACTCTTTCAAATCTTTCAAGATTTCAAACTGGTTAAAATGAGATTGTATCAATTTTAACATTTTATTTAAAATAGTAATTTGAAATATTAATAAGTAAGACATATAAACATGTATTCAATTTCTATATAAAATCACTGTTGTGCTTTTAATTTGATGCAGACACCAAAATGTAACATCTCATCGTTGACCCATATTGTTTGTTTGTTTGTTTCAGTTCAAATGGATAAAACAGTCTACATCTTTAATTGGTGATTTGAAATCACCTTTTCCAGGAAAGTGAGCCCAAGCTCCGCCTCACAGATTAGAGCATTTGATCTCTGTGAATCTTCAGTGTCACCACACCATCTCACACTCCTAATCTCCAAAACCTCCAGTTCAAGGTCCTGCTGTTGCCAGCGATTTGATGATTTACATCTTGCAGCGATATAAACATTTGTGCAACATTACATAACTTTTTTTTATATATTGGGTAATTTCTGCATTTCTGCAAGGTAGTCAGATGGTTATTATTATTAATATTGATATATGTTCTCACTTATGGTTCCAAATTACATGACTAATGAAAACGGGGGTCTCATCAGAGAACATTGTATAATGTCATGCAAAGACTACATATTACTTTTCCAACTAAGCTCTCACTGATACAGGATTATTTCGAAAAAAGGATTATTTCTTTAAGAAAAGATCTCTCGAATCTCCCACTATGAGTAGTTAGAATTTACCTTAATAGGAGGAAGACAACAAAAACACCTTGTAATGGCGGTTTACAAGATTATCTATCTGGACTGGACAAAATGTACCTTAAGTACTGATCACAGACCTGTTTGACCTTTATAGCACAATCCATTAAGATTAGAGGAACATAATGTAAGTAATTAAGGTCTGATCCTGGATCAGCACATTAAGATATGCCAAAGCTAAACATCTTACTTGCAGGAGGGTGACCAACAGCACAAGCACCCCAATAGTGTTCATCATTCCACCATAGTAGGAGACGAGAGCGTCCCGACAGCCTCGTTTCCAGATGTTTAGGTCTTCGGTGTAGTGGTCATAGCTATAGTGAGCTGAGTTGTTGGTTATTTGCTGTTGGATGCAGGGTCGTGGTGAGCTAGGATTGCAGCAGCTGAAGGGAACGCCATCCATTAGGTATTTGCCATCCACATTGCTGCTGATTCGGCTGAGGATAAAAAAAAAAGTTGTTTATGTTTATGACACCAGCAGACTCTTTAAAAAAAACTGTATTTTCAATTTCGTTTAGAATGATATGAAATTTTCATAAAACTATTAATTTTCATAAAACTATTATGAATACATTTTGAAGAATGCTTTAAACTGGTAGCCATTGACTTGTATAATTGTTTCTACATTGTAAATCAGCGGCTACCAGTTACCTACATTGTTCAAAACATTTACTTGTGTGTTCAACAGAAAAGCTTACAATGGTTTGGAATCATTGAAGGGTGAGTAACTGACGATTAAATTTTCTATTTTTTAGTAAACTACCTCTTTAAGGCTAAAAACTTCAACACCTATTCCAAGCCAATCTACCAGGTATTCATCTGATTGAAAGGGACAGTAAGCTCTGAGGGCAAGAAAATGTGATCCAAGAAGATTAGAGACTAAACCTTAACTGACTAACATGCCTGATACCACTTACACTGCAAATTGACCCCTGCAAATCACCCAATGTCCACCCTCACCTGCCACATAACAGCCATTACATCTTAAAAATAAAGGTGCCAGCAAAAACCCACATCTGTGATGCCACAGAAGAAACTTTGAAGAACCATTTTGTTCATAGAGTGAAGAACATTCATCCATTTTAAAGAACCGTTTATGGTTCTTACTGAAATCATTGATGCCAATAAAGATTCTTTATTTATTTTTTATTCTTTTAATTATATCACAAGAAACTGTTTTGGTGCAATAAAAGAGCCTCAAATCTTTGGTTATCTATATGACCAAACTATTTCGGAACATTAAGAAACAAAAAGACACTCACTCTTTGACTTCTTTGGCGCTGAAGTCCAGGTAACGGTTGCTCACCCACTGGATCTCGAACCAGTCTTTGTAATTGTTGTTGCCACAGCATCGGAACTCCATCTGCATGAGATCCAGAGTCCTCTTCATGTAGCAGCGCCCGGGTGTATCGGTGTCCTTGTAGTACTTCATCCCATTTTTCAGGCCCTCCGCAAGTGTAAACTCTAGAGGAATGCGCATGGCGAAACACATAGCCGCGGTGACAATAAGGAGGAAGTTGAAGACCAAACAACAAATGAGAAAGGGCGTCATAATAGACTTCCATTTCGCATACTTGGAGGAGTCGAGCGAGTCGTAGCAGACTTTGCCACCAAAGGCATTTAGACAACATGCCAAAAGTCCCACACCGATTAGAATGTTGGGTACAAAATGGCTTTCGTTGTTGTCCATAAGTTCACTTCTTTTGCGGAGTTCGATTTTAAAGAAAAGGCCCATGCTGAAGACCAGCACTCCTGCCATTACGGAAAACCAGTACATGAGCCATAGCATCTGGGCAAGCTTTACCCTTTTCTTCAGGTCAAACTTTACCTTCATGAGAGCCATGTTGAACAACTGGTTAAAGTCCAAAGAAAGAAGAAACAAGTCTTTTCAGAGGTTGATGAATTCCACAGAGTTGGCTTACGAAAATCGAAGACTGAAAGCACGTTCAAGGCTCAATTTGTAATCCATTCCAGTAAATCAAGAACTTGTTGGCAACATTCATGATCTCATCCATAGTAGATTCTTCTAAAGGTGAACGCCAGTGTGAAACATTATCTTAAAAATGGATTTTCATCTACAGCGATTAAAAGCACGAGTGCCTCAGCTACTGACGCAAATAGTGGTGTCCCTCTAACTGCAAAGGGAGGACAAAAGCCAAGGATCCAAATGATTAAACACAAAGTTACTGTACGTCATCCTAAACCCAGCTAATCACCCTCATCCCATTTACAGAAATCCCTGGCCAGCAGATGAGCCTATCTGTAAAGCTGCTGCCGTGGCGTGTGATTGGCTTGATTGGTCACATGGTGTGGCTGGTATAACTAAAGAGACATCAAAAACCAAGAGACGATGACCTAGGACCACTACACTTCCACTTCAAGGGTCCTTGAGTTCATCTTGCCAGTGAATGAAAGGATCTCTAAATATAATCTCAAGGTCAAAGTATTCTGGGAATATCATTGAATTTTGATCATTTAAGAGCATACACAAATGCCAATTAGATAATGGTCAAATTCTCTTTTAGGGACCCCCTCGAAAATGAGATGATTCATCTCAAGGGGCTATCCCATTCAATAAAGTTATTAATGTCAGGTCAACAGTGGTACTAAACAAACAGTTCACCCAGAAATAAATATACCATCATTATAACTGGCCCCTATGCCATTCCAAACCCATTTGACTGTATCTGATCTGTTTGGAACATCTCAGATGTCTTCCTTTACACTGTAAAAAAGATATGACAAAAAAAATCATTGCAACAATTGTTTTAATGCTACTTTAAATTACTTTAATATGTTAATAAAGCTTTAACTAATGAATTTAGTTACAAAAGGTTTAACATTATTTCTAGTCAGTTTGACTAATTGTGAGTTAAGATAACTAGAACATTCAACACAATCACTAAACAGGCAGTAAGATTGTTTTACAGTGTAGGCTTCAAAGAAAACAACTCTACAGTTCAGGCGAAAAGTAGGCGATTACTGAATTTTTGTTCTTAGGGGAATGATCCTTTTTACAATATTAGTTAATACAGTTATTAAGTGCATACTCATAAGACTTGGCAAGTGAACCACACATTAAAAAAATGATAGAACATTTTGGAAATATTGAATATTTAGGGCATATCAATATTAATATTAAACTGATTGAGCACAATAACATAATCCCATCATGACTGTTCAGAATCAGATGATGTTATCGCTTTATTAATATGAATGCAGAATGTTTTAACAAATGAATGCTGTTTCAGGACTTTTAACCATTTCATTGTTATTTGTTCTATCTACCTATTCTTTTTTTGTTTGTTTGTTAGACTTTATTAATCCCAGAGAAATTCACATAACAGCAGAGCTCTCCATACTAAAGATAGATAAAATACGTTACATATATATAAAACAATGACAAAATTACATACTGCACACCTTAGTTTCAAACAATGAGTAGACACTAGTCCATATCTATTACTATTACAATTCAGCATAATTCATCTAGTATGACTTTGGTTGTACAATCTGATTGCACACGTTTGAACCATATCAAAAAGGGAATAAATATCAGGGTTCATCATACTGAAAAATTTGTCCATCATTCGATCATTTGCAATCTCTCCTCATGGTAGGTAATACACACCCCACAACAGAAGATGCCCTTTTTTTATAAGCTTATTTAATTTGTTTTTCTCCTTTTCCAACAGCTCCCCTCCCCAGGACGTTACAGCAAACAAAATCACAGAGGACACCACAGAATCATAAGTCTTTAACAGTGTCTGACACACCAAAGGACCTCAGTCATCTTAATAAATGAATGCAACTCTGACCCTCCTTATACACCTGAATTGTATTTTCCAACCAATCAGGCACACACAGGTACCTACGATAAAACAATCTCAATTGCTGACTGTATAATCACTGGCACCGCTTGTTGTGGATGTCTGCTAAAATTAACAATCATTTCTTTGGTCCTATTAGTATTTAAGACAATTTGTTTCACACCAGTCAGCAAACTGCTGTTTCATTTCTATGTACAATGAAACCAAGTGATCTACAGGGCACATAATGTTGCTGACCACACTGTTTTTGTGACCGCTGACTTTTATTGGACTGTATATACAAAGATTATTTGTCCAAACAACAAATAATAATAATAATCAAAAAAGTTGAAGGCTCTGAAACAATATAAATGTGTGGAAACATTAAGAAGATAATCTGTGGGTAAATTGTGATATAATTGCATAATAACGGAAAGTTCACAAAATAAATTACAATTTTCACACCATTTACTTGCACTTAAGTGATTCTAAACTTTCGTTTTTCTGTTTAATGAAAAACAAGATATTCTAAAGAATGTTGGAAAACAGCAACCACTGCCATACATAGGAACAAAATATACTATAGAAGTCAATGGCTGCTGCTTCAAAATACCTTCTTTTGTGTTCAACAGAGGAAAGAAACTCGGCTTTGGAACAAGTAGAAAACGAGTATATGATGAAAGAATTTTCATTTTTCGGTCAACTGTCCCTTTAAACACATACTTACATGACCTGACAAAAGAACCACAAAAAAAACCACATTTGATAAATCAGTTTGGATTTTATTATATTAATATACAGCCTCCGGTTAATTTGTAATCATTGTAAATGTGGAACTCTCGAACATTTTTTAACAGCATCTCAATATTAGTGCATTAACCCATCACACAACAATACAACCCTATCACGATTGTTCAGAATCAGATGATGTTACTGCTTTATTAATATGAAAAAAGAATGTTTTAATTAACGTATGTAGTTTCAGAACTTTTAACCATTTTATTATTATTTGTTGTGTACCAATTCTTTTTTTTTTTTGTACAATGAAACCCAGTGATCCACAGGACACATATAATGTTGCTGACCACACTGTTTTTGTTAGCACTGACTTTTATTGTATATACAAAACATATTTTTTGTCCAAACAACAAATAATAATAATAATCATCAAAAAAGTTGAAAGTTCTGAAACAACACAAATGTGTGAAAACATTGAGATAATTTGTGGGTAAATTGGGATATAATCATACAATAATGGAAAGTTCATCAATGACAAAATTCACACCATTTACTCACGCTTAGATGATCCTAATTTTTTATGATTACGTTCTTTCTTGTGTTGATTGAAAAACAAGACATTCTCAAGAATGTTGGAAAATAGCAGCCCTTGACATCCATAGGAACAAACCATACAGACAGGGGCGGACTTAGTGATTTGGGGGCCCTAAGCGATTTCAGGTATGGGGCCCTAGCACTGATACTCAAAACATTCTTTCTCTATAGACATATTTTTCTCTGTAGATTAGCATTTTTATGCAAATAAACTGCATGTAAAAATGTATTTAAATAAATATATAATTTTAAAAGTATATAAAAATAATGTACATCTAAAGGAGCCTTTGTTTTCTTAATGTAAAATTAAATGCAATAAATTCACAATTAAAGTTCACAAACTATGTACATTTCATGAACCATTTTTGTGATTAGATGAATATAAACATAAAAAAAAATTTCATTCACAATCAATCAATTTAATCTTGTCACAATCTTTAATATATATATCAATAATTGCTGTTTGTAAATCGGGAGCCGCTACTGTCCACTGGGAAATGTTAGTTTTTTTTAACAGCCCCTTGATCTCTTAAAAAGCTCATCGTGCTCATCATCTGACAGGTGTTTTGGCCAGAAAGCAGAATCGCTGGCGGAGCTGTGTTTCATTGTTTGTCTTATGTCTAAATCTTTTTCCAAATGTTCTCAAAATTCTAACTCTTGCTCACTCTGCTTACCTCTACCTCAGCTCTACTCTGACCACTGGCAGTGTCTTGAACTGCTCACACCTCGTGCATGTGCAGTACGGAAGGAATGTTCCATTATCCATGGAAGCCCCTGGTTATGAAAAGAATAATGTTAAAATCTTAAGAGGTACGGACAGATTTTACAACATATGATTGAAAATTTACATAAGAGCTATATGATTATTATTATAGGCCTCTTGGCATTTGTCGGGGCACCCTAATGTTCTGGGGCCCTAAGCAGTTGCTTACCTTGCTTATTGGTTAAGTTCACCCTTGACTACAAAAGTCAATGGCTGCTGTTTTCTAACATTTTTCAAAATATCTTCTTTTGTGTTCAGCAGAGGAAAGAAACAAGTAGAGAATGAGTGAATAATGACAGATTTTCATTTTAGGTGAACTGTCCCTTTAAATGCATACTGACATGACCAGACAAGAAAACAACAAATAAACAAATGTGATCAAATCAGTATTTGGATTTATTATATTAATATACAGCCTCTGGTTAATTTATGATCATTGTAAATGAGGACCTCCTAAACATTCTTTGTTTACAGCATCTCAATATTAGTGCATTAACCCATCGCACGACAACACAATCCCATCATGACTGCTCAGCTGCCGTTCCCACAAAATCCCAACTACATATTCTCTCAGATTCAGGAATGACAGTCCAGTTGGGTGATGGTGTCCCAGCAGCGAGCCAATTAAAATCATCCACCTCTGTCCAGTTATTCCTATCAGGACTCAGTCCGGCTACTTTGAAATGATCAAGAATGCCTGGATAGGTCCATGTGAATGGGGCAAAGCTGACCCCTTGACAGTCCTCTATAATAGCCCGGCTGGTCACATGCAGATATACCCGAGTGGCAGTGGTGTTATGGGTGCGCAGCTGCTGACAAGGGAACACTAAAGTGCTGTCAGTGCACTGGTCCACAAACACAGAGCTGGACACCGGCCCACACATGATCTCACAGCTGCGGATGTTTTTGATGTGCAAGGTGCTCGGACAGCCATAAAGTCTGACTTTACAGTGGGTCAGGTGAGACAGCAAAACATCTCGCTGCTGGATCTCCTCAGCTTGCCTGACTAGGACTTGATTGTCAACATTGGAGAAGCCGCATTGATCTGCAGCATCCACCACTACAGTGCCAACTGAACCTGGCGCAGGCTTGTCTGCTGTTTGTTGCTGAATGGGTGTAGGCTGCTGCTGCTTACTCGTGTTTCTGGATCTAAAAGCGAACTTCTTTTTAGGCAGAATCTCCTCTCTTTTGTCAGTAATGGAGCTTTGGAGTTTCTGCAGGGATTCCTGTGCTTGTCGTATTTCATATTGGGTTAGAAACCTCACACTGTCATTGAGGAACTTCTGGAGCTGTTGAAACTTCACAGTTGCCTCCTCCAGTGTTTTTGCGGCTTTTTCGCGGTCGTTACAGCTGGATATCATCTCCTCGAGTTGTGTTTTCTCGGCGTTGAAAGTGGATGTAAAGAAGTCACTCTTTTCTTCCGTTACGGTCTGGCTTTGCTTGACGTCTCTCCGGCGCTCCGCCTCTTCCAGCCTCGCTTGATCTCTTCGCAAGACGCTTTCGGGAACTTTGACAGCTGTGTTTGTTTCTCCATCATCCTGCGCCACATTCATTTCAACTCCCAACGCAGCCATGATGATTCTCAAAGCGGGCGTGGTAAACGCACGCTGGTCATGTGATGATTCGTCTGAGTGTGCTTATCGATGATTGGATTAGGAATCAGTTCTGTTAGTAACGGAGACTCCTACTGGCGCTTTAAATACATCATTCATGGTTTTGCTTATTCGTTTAATAAATATATGTATTTGAGATGTACAGTTGAAGTCATAATTATTAGCCCCCCTTTGAATTTCTTTTTTAAATATTTCCCAAATGATGTTTAACGGAGCAAGGAAATTTCCACAGTATGTCTGATAATATTTTTTCTTCTGGAGAAAGACTTTTAGTTTTTATTTGTTTTATTTCGGCTAGAATAAAAGCAGATTTTAATTTTAAAAAATTTAAAGCCATTTTAAGGTCAATATTAGTCCCTTTAAGCTATATATTTTTTCGATAGTCTACAGAACAAACCATGGTTACACAATAACTTGCCTAATTACCCTAATCTGCCAAGCTATCCTAATTAACCTAGTTAAGCCTTTAAATGCCACTTAAAGCTGTATAGAAGTGTCTTGAAAAATATCTATTCAAATATTATTTACTGTAAAAATAAATCAGCTATTAGAAATGAGTTATTAAAACTATTATGTTTAGAAATGTGTTGATAAAATCTGCTCTCTAATAAACAGAAATTGGGCAAAAAATAAACAGGAGGGCTGATATTTCTAACTTCAACTGTATATTCGTAGTATATTCATATAAATACAAGCCTTTGTTATTAGAAAATAAAAATATTTTAAGATTAGTGCATATTTTTTTTACAGTGTCGTGTATGAATAGAACTGATGTTTAAAAATAAATAAATAAATAAATAAATAAATAAATAAATATATATATATATATATATATATATATATATATATAACCCAAGCCAACATGGGGAGAACATGCAAGCTTCACACAGAAATGCCAACTAACCCAGCTGGGACTCAAACCAGCAACCTTCTTGCTTTGAGGCAACAGTGCTAACCACTGTGTCGCCTGGTTAGGATTTATTATTATTATTTCTATCTTGAAATCCATTACCAGTAAAATTCTGTATTTTTGGTATATGGTCATTGTGAGTATTATAAGGACATGAAAAAATACAATATAGCACAATTTTTATACATTTTTGTTGTCCATGTCACTGTCTTTTAATTAAGGCCCAATCCGAATTCTGTTTTTATACCCCTACCCCTTCCCCTTGGCCCTTACAACCGAGGGTTAAGGAAAAGGGCTTCAAAATTTACCCCTAAGAATTGGGACAGCACTACTAGTGCACCTGCACACGTCATCATATGTCATCGCAATCTCATGCTTCATAAGAGATCAGACAATTGCGACTGCTATGGTTATTACAGTTGCGTTATTTTTTGGTATTTATCTTCAGGAAATCACTGAAGGCATATTTTATGTTATCATAACGATCTAATATGGCAATAAGATCGTAACTAGTGGCCATATTCATTTATGTAAACAAACAAAAACAACATTATCATTATAGCAGACACTGTAAACAGCTCATTCCCAGCCACTAGACATTTCTGACCGGGTATTCCAGTGTCATCAAGTCTCAGAATATTGTGGGACTGCTGTACAGGATGATTAGGGATTAAAGATAGCAAAATTTTGTGTTTTTTTTTTTAAGCATGACGGTAAAACATGAACGCGGTTATGAATGTATTAAAACACGTCTTTGTTTGTTGTAAAAAATTGTTATGACAAAAAAATAGTAATTTGCGTATCTCGCTACTTCTGGGTTCAGCTATACTGCCGTTGTGGCTGGTGTATTCTGGGAAATTTTCTTACCTTGGTTTCGAGTGTGGTCCTGTAAAATCTTCAAAGGGCTATTCACTCCTTCCCCTTAGCCCTACGCCTTCAAGCCAAAGAGAATTGGGACACCCCTACCCTTTAGCGTGCACACGCAAAACGAGGGGTAGGGGTAAGGGGAAGGGCTAAAGAGTAGAATTGGGATTGGGCCTAAGTGCTATAGTTTAGGTACTGATCAAATTAGTTTTTGTATTTTAAATTAGTCTTTAGTCACTTAAAGGGCAACTATGATGAAAATCATCTTTTATATGCTGTTTGAACACAACCGTGTAAAGGTATAGTGTCCACAGTCATATTGGAGGGATATAAAGCCTCCTTTTTTAATATTTCCTGATGTTAAAATAGGATCCAAATCCCTCCCATTTTGAGGCCCACGTGGGACTGCTGCGGTTTCCTCACCCACGAATTGACAGCTGTGTATCCATGACGGCCTACCCCCCGCTCTTCAGTGTTCAGTTTGCAATCATCTCCACCCCCTCCCCCCACCCTTCAGTGTAACGAGCACATAACACCCCCCCCCCCCCCTCCCTCCCTGCTCTTTACCTGGGGGCCCCATGAATAATCCTTTCAGGGGGGTCCACACATTTTCCACTGCGTGTATTACAAGTCTCCGAAGCAATGCGTAAGATCAAATAAACAAGACTGGACGTGCGCAAAGCAACCTAGGTTAAAAGATCTGTTCAGCTCTCTGTGATCATCAATCATCATCAAATGTGATCAAGAATGAGTTTTACAAAAGTTTAAAAGTTTTTAAAACAGTGCATGTTTGTAATGAATTGCAGTGGTTTTACCATCTTTACTTTATCACCACAGCCGAGTGTCAGTACAATTATAAAAGAAGATGCTTCAATCCCGGTTTGTGGACATTAAATCAGGTTTATTTTGTACATTAATATAACAGAAATCCATACAGCAGTGGATATAAAAGCAGTATCCTGTCACATTTGCCATGCAAAAACTACAAATTAAACGCACTGTGTGTGTGTGTGTGTGTGTGTGTGTGTGTGTGTGTGTGTGTGTGTGTGTGTGTGTGTGTATGTGTGTGTGTGCGCGCGCGTGAACTTTATAACAACATTGTGAATATGTGTGAATCATCGTTGCAACGCCACGACAAATACATCAAATAATCATTGGGAAAGTTTTTATTGTAGTATTTCGCACGTTATGCGAGATCTGCTTCCTGGGAGCCAGGGAGAGCATTAAAAGCACAGGAAATAAAAACAGCAGAAAATCCAATTTTCTGAAAGATATAATAAATAGTCTAATGTCTGTTTTAGGCTGAAACTTTACAGATACATTCTGGAGAAACAAAAAACTTGTCTTAAATCTGGAAACAGGGGTAAAATAACTTGCTTTTAAATTAACCTTTCAATTTGCTATTCATTTGAATTAGTTTTGAAATGTTATGGTTGCCAGTAAGCACATTTAGTTTTTGTTTTTATTATTTTTTAATTTGCATATTATACTTTTACATTTTATTTTTTGTTCATCAAAACATCTACAGGATGCAGTAAAGTGTTGTTTGTTATTTCTGCCCCTGGTTCACACTTGAGACTGATGTGTGATCTCGGGACACATAAAGGTGTGGTCGATGAGGATTCTCCGCCCCCTGTCGATTGTCACACACACAATTTTTATTCAGTTATTCATGTCAGGCATTAGGGGTGATTAATGAAAACAGCAGCTTTAACTTGTGAATTTGGCAAAAGTGACAGTGGAAGCCGCCTCAATAACAAACAAAGAGTTTAGGAATACCCTATTCTTTGAAGTAAAGAGCCCTATGCTGTGTAGTGCACTATGTAGTGATGCTGCCTTCTGCTGGAGCCGCACTGCTCCACCGGCCCGTGCAGAGATGGCGAGGAAACCCCGTGGACACGGCACTGCTTTTTCATGACGGTGAGTTTCCCCTTTGAGTGTATTATAATTTTGTGATAAAATTTTCAAGGAAAAAACACACACAACCTCCTTCCTCCCCTTCCTTCGGGGAGGGAAGAGCAAGCGTGGAGAGAGAAAAATCTATCTGAGACTGAGCAGCAAGGACAGTGAGGGAAAAATATATGAGTGGGAGAGGGAGAAAGAAGAAGAAGGAGGAGGAGGAGGAGGAGGGGGAGCAAATTAAAAGTTGCCAAATGGAGATATTGGGTTTCAAGAGGAGTGAGACAGGAGTAAGGGTTTGCCTCTTTTTCAAGTCGTCTTTGTGTGATGCAAATTCAAATAAATATTTATGCTTCGCCAACGATTTGTTCTGCGTTCGGTTTTTGCTCGACGATTTCAGCCGTTTCTTAATAGGTGGGGGGAACAACGTCCACACACCGCCCAGAAGGCCATCAACAACTCGGAGTGTGAAGAATGCTTGAGGCTCGTCTGATAATGATGATGATCCGCCTTTACCCCTTCAAAAAAACCTAAAGACAAACCTAAAGTATCAAGCGAGCCGTCCGTCCGGAGCCGAAAACTCGTTTCCTCCGTGCCACGCTCCTCTCGACTGTCACAGCTGCGCAAATAATTACGCTTGTAGACGACAATTTTCGAGCCGAGCGATAAAGCAAGCTTCTCCAGCCTCCGTCTATTTATGGACAAAGTCCCTGTGTGTTTCTAGCTGTTACTTTCAGCGAGATTAAGGCGGGTTTTGTGCGTCCTGCCCTTGCGCCATGGAGAGCCTGTTTAGTCCTTCCTGCCACACTGTATGACAAGCGAATCAGTAAAAATGCGTCGCCTTGCTTCGACAGGGTTTTAACATTACTCTGTATTTTGAGGGGTTGCTGGTTTTCTACGTGTCTCTTTCCGCCCCTTTGACTTAACAAAGAGGATAGATAATTTTTTTTTCTGGTGTAAGAGAGGAAGAAAAAATGATTCATCTCCTCCCTCATTTGGCTTGCTAACGTTATATGTTGACCACAGCCGAATGCGTGTTATATCTAAGATCTTCTGTTCATTGTTTGGTTAATAAAACCCCGCGTTTGCATGTAAAATGGCATTTTTAATGATATTTTAAAGTTGTTTATTAAGGAGGCGTAAAAAAGGCCCAATAACCTGTCACGTTTTTTTTTCTTTCATTAAAAGGAAACCGCGAAGTTAAACCTGATGGATGTTACAGTTTATCTGTAAATACAACGTATATGATATTCTAATATTATATGTAACGTATATATTGCTTTATGTTGTATCCCTTTACATCTTTAGATAGATCTTTTTTTCAGCTGATCGAGCAGTATTTATTTGACTCTGACATGTTACGCGTTTTTCTCGTGTATGTGCTGCGTAATAATGAAATAACGTTACATTTTAAAATGCGCAATTTTTGTATTTCTGCATATTCTTTAACCCCTTTTAACGCCACACGTCGTTTGTTTTAACACAAAAGCGAAAATGACTGTCAACCAAACGCTATTTAAACATGAAGTCCCTTTGGGGAAAACACACAACCCATTTCTTTCCCTCACTTGGCTTAGTCGAAATGTTATAAAACATTAACAGCTTGTCAAGAGAACAGTCAAACTGGCCAAACATGTTCACCCATCCCCCCACGAGGAGTCCACCTTGTCACATTTCCACACAAGTTGTTCATATTTCTATTGTAAAAAATATTAATTGAAATTACAGTCGAGTTACATTTCAACACTGCACAAGATCTCTGCGTCACAACGCCCTTTGTCTGTCGACTGTAGCGAGCAGTGGCGCAGTTTCAATCACCAGCCGCCATTTTAAAGTCTCTATAGGCTACGGACAGTATCTGCAGCCAAGCGTGGAGACGCTCTTTGTCACACAAATTAATTCTGCATTCTTAAACATACACATCATATTCGTCTATTCAGTGCATCTTACAGTACAGTTTAAATGTACTTAAGCACTAAAAATAAGTTTACTGATTGATTGGAATTAGTGTTTAATGTAAAGCCCTTTTATGACTTATTTTTGTTTTTGTGCGTGTATTATTCTTCAATGAGAATAATACAATAAAGGCGTAGACTGCCACATTATACACAATAGATTCAAATATTTTGATATTTTGTTTCAGTTTGTGCATCCCTGGCATAGAAATGACCCTGGCACAAAGGCCTGTGACAGCAGAGAAGAGATAGTCTATGAATATAATACTTTTTGTAATTTAATATTATGCAAGAGCTCTCCTTACAATCCCTGAGAAAGTTCATTAACACACTGTCTTATATTGTTGATTATAATTGTATTTTGTATAGAGTTCAATGCACGCTACATTAATTGGATGCTTCAGGAGTATTTAGTAACCAATGTTTATTAACTAGGGCATTTTTGTCCATTTTAAAATCTTAAAATCTGTTATTACTATGTCACAGGTGTCATGGATGATGAAGACGACCGCCGTCTTCTGGATTTTATAGGGTAACAACTTTGATGGTTCTTTGAAAAAGCTACACTCCATGTAGTTTCACCAAACAAACGTGTTTAATGAATTGTTTTTTTTTGTTTTTTTTTACAGAGATGTGCAAGCATTAAATGAATATCTTCATGGTTCAAATAGTAAATCAGTAAGTATGCTTACACACTACATTTGAGTGCTATAAAGTATTCAAAGGTCATTGATAACTTTCTTTGACATTCGAGCAGATTGGAGAAGATGATGTGACAAATGCAACTTTTGGTTCGGCCAGCTCATTCTTCACCAGTGACACTGTGAGTATAACCCATACTCCTCTATAATATGTCAGTTAACATATCATATATTATGAACATTTAAATTAAAACCTTCAACAAAATTTGACATCAAACTATATTTTGTCTGCTCAAACTAAAAAGTGCATATTTCACTTTGATATAGCAAATGCCTTTGCAAGCCCAGTCAATTCCTTTTTTTTCATTTGATAGCTTGGCGGTCAACATATTCATACTTGAACTTTTGATATTTGTCCTGGCTTTAATTTTTCTCCAAGTGTTACCGGTCTACATGCATGCATGTGTTGATAACATGAACTGATTTAATTTTAATTTTCATATACTCTATTGTACATAAAAAACTTTAACTGAGCTTAAATGTTTGAATGGTAATCACCATTCATTAAAATATGAGTGAGTCTAGATTTGGTTTAATTTTCAGGGTGGCTCCAGTGAAGGACTCAAAGATGGCCACAATCATTTGGGAGAGTTTGGGGAGGCTGGTGATGCTGAGCTTCAGCTCTCAAGCAGTCTTCCGTTCATCGAGGATGATCTGGACAGTGAAACTTCAGCAGATGGAGTCGATCTCGGTGGCGAGGACCAACCCTTCGACATCCTCCAGAAGTCATTGCTGGAAGCAGATATCACAGAGCAGACATTGGCTCAAGAAGCCCTTCTGGACTCACAGCCATCTCTCATTCCCACAGCTACCGCCTTCCCTCAGCAGCTGGTCTCTGGAGGGTTTGCAGGGGTTGCGGGTCCTGGTGTGGTGGCACCATTGGCACAACCTCAGGCTTTTATCCAACAGGTTCCTCAACTACCCTTGCCAAATGGCCCTGCTGGACACATCCAGGTAGTGGGATCCTTCAATGGCAGTGCCTCCTCTATGATGACTATCAACAGTTTGGAACAGCCTCAGATCTTGTTGAGGCAGAGTGGAAACAACAGCGGGCAGGGTACTATGTTTGCTCCTTCCACACCTAATCAGGTGTCAATGTCCTTCAATAAAGGGACGATACCAGTTCAGAATATTATCATCCAGAGAGGCCCTACGCAACAGACATTGGTCAGACCCATTCAGCCAAAACCCTTACAGACAGGGGGACAAACTGTATACAATATCAGCAACATAGGGATTCAACCTAGCACTACCACTGCTGGGAATTTAGTCAGTAGTGCGTATACAGCTACTGGCTCTCCTCAGCCTGCTCAGCAGGTGAAAGTGGTCAATCCAGCCAGCAGCATTGTGATGCATTCTCCTTTAGGGCAACAAGCGCAAACACAGTCCCAGTCTAATCTGCCTCAGGGGCAGTTTTTACTCCCCAGTTCAATTTCCCTCACCCCTGGTACGACAGTCCATGGCTTCCAGGCTGTGAATGGCCAGGTCTTACAAGGAAACACTCAAGTGGGCGACCCGTCGTCAATGAGCACTACTACATACTCCATCCTCACCAATCAGAACACAACAGTACAGCTTATTGCTGGGCAGAACTTCTCAGCTGGAGGCCAGTTGATAGTCAATCAAGGTTTGGTCAGTGGCGGTCAAATAGGCCAAGCTTCACCGACTCCTGTTGTGCAGGTGTCTCAAAGGCCTGCTGCTGCTGCCAAAGTTTGGACTTCCAGCGCTTCGCCTAGCCCAACGCCTGTACAGGCAACACAGACTTCAAGCCACCTCACTATGATCAGTTCAGGTGTGCAAGGACCACAGGTTTGTCAACAGTTATCTGTGAACCCAGGACAACATCTTCTTATGCCCGTAGGGCAGAATGCTTCAGCTACTTCTGGGTTTCAGGAGTTTCAAGTCTCTTTAAACCAGGTGAATAAATTGGTTTATTTTATTGCTACTTGTTTGCTTCTGAATAGTTGTTGTTTAGTCTTCTCTAAATTTTATTTCAATTTCTAAGGACACCACGGCAGCAACACAAAGAGGGCAGACACAATTAGTAAATCTCCTTGGTACCAAAGGTAAGACTCTTTTTGAAATATTAAGCTTCCATTAGTAATTATAAGGCCCTGTTTTCACTACATATTAAGGTGTTTTCAGTTATCCAGGATCAGACGCATTAACATGCCTCTATCTTTTGTAACCACTTGTGTTCAGACCCTTTTTCTTATATTTGGTCATGCTCTACAGCAGGTGTGACCAACCCTGTTCCTGGAGATCGACCTTCCTGCAGATTTCAGTTGCAACCCATATCAAACACACCTGCCTGTAATTATCAAGAGCTGTTCAGGTCCTAATTAATTGGTTCAGGTGTGTTTGATCAGGGTTGGAACTGAACTTAGCAGGAAAGTCGATCTCCAGGAACAGGGTTGAGCACCACTGCTCTACATCATGTCATTCATCTTATGAGCTAGCAGAAAAAACATGAATAAAAATAAAGTGGACAATTCAATAACTATGATTTCAGTCATAATATGTATGTTTTGGTACATCGCAGTGAAGTATAAATTTCGTGTTTTGTTGCAAAACAATCATAAACTTATAAACACTATTGGGCTCTTTGCACTGTATATTTAATATTACTGCTTATGTGCATCTAAATGTACTCTTTTGGATCTAAAATGTTTTTTTTTCCATCTTTATTTATTTATTTTGAATCGTAGTTCTGAAACCGCTCACTCCTGCCAGTCAGGAATTGCCTCTCACACCGAAGCGACCTGCAACTCAGCAACTTACGAGAGGAGAATTGTGAGTAACCTGATTGTACTTTATGATGCATCAATGAAGTGTGTGATTTTTCACTCATCATCAGTAAATAAAATATCAAAAACAATGAGCATGATAAACGTATTACTTACAGTAAGTAATGTGTGTTTAATATAGTAAATTTGTTGTGCATGGCCATACACCCAAAACGCTTCACATTCATGGTAGAAGGTCTCTCCACACTACCACCAGCATAACATCCACTTGGATGATGCAACGGCAGCCACAAGTCAACAGTGCCAATGCACTCACGACACACCTGCTATAGGGGGAGTGGAGAGACAGTGATAGAGCCAATTCGGTGGATGGGGATGATTGTGTGGCCATGATCGGTAAGGGCCAGTAGAATGAATTTGGCCTGGACACCAGGGTTACACCCCTAATCTTTACAAGAAGTACCATGGGATTTTTAATAACCACAGAAAGTCAGGACCTCAGTTTAACGTGTCATCTGAAAGATCACTGATAGTATAGTGTCCCCTTCACTATACTGGGGCATTAGGACTCATACAGACTGCAGGTTGAGCACCCTTGCTGGCCTCGCTAATGCCACTTGCAACAACAACCTAGTTTTCCCATTTGGTCTCCCATCCAGGTACTAACCAGGTTCAACCCTTCTTAGCATCAGTAAGTAACCAGTCTTGGGCTGCAGGGTGAGCAGTGGCCAATACACTGAAAACTATCAGAAAACGTTTACTGAAATAACCTGTTTTACCAGTTCATATGCAAACAAGTAACCAGTCAACATAAATAAACTATGGCTTTATCAAAAGATCTAGATATTTCCTGGTGATGTCAAACTGTAAGCATTCACTTAACATCCAGTTAAGAGTATTCCATTAGCTGTGATGTTATATACAGCATTAAAATACTAAAGTATTCAAAATGTCCACAGGAAACCTGACTATATTTATTTCCTTGTCTTCTCACTGTGGTTGGATGCTGTTAAATCTGCTGTGATGCTTTTCTGTCATTGTTACACATACATGCCAAAAAACATGAATGATACTTCTTGTTTTACATACATACACAGTTGAATGCACAGCTCTTAGAGTATACTCCAATTGATAGTGTGTATGAACACAAATGCTAAATATATGTGCACTAGAAATATATATCCTATTCACGTATCTGCACTTTGACTCTTAAAATAACAACTGTCTTTTTACCTGTAATATTTAATAATAATAATAGTAATCAGGGTTCAACGCTAAGGATTTTTTCTACTGGTATGATCGGGCCAGGGGTTCAGATTTTTACTTGCCCTGCCAAAATTTTCACTGGCCCCACCAAAAAAAAGGGAATTTAATAGCTATTTTTAGCCACATATTTTAGATAAAGTGTCAAAAATAAAGTCTGTAAATCTAGAATTTCAATACTTTAAAAAAATGTAAATAAAAGTGTTATGCAAGCAAAAAGAGCAGTATGGAAAATGAGCAGGTATTTTATTGCGGTTTGAAATTATTTAACAAAAGGTGGCTGGCTTGTCAAATTGACGGAAAACTGCAAAACATCACTTCATTTTTATTTTGTCGTGTTGTTCCCACGTAAATGTCTACTTCCAAGTTGTTAGAAACAGACATTTTCTTTTAGCCTTATAATTTGATATTGCCGCCATGTTGCCGTTTCTTTGCTGTACTGATTGTTACCAGGTTATGGAAAAAAATAGCATGCTCAATTAGATAAGAGGAACTGGAAAGCAATATAGTGTTTACGACATCACAGAAAAAGTAGTGTTTAAAGACTTAAAAGCACAAACTGAAAATGCACGCAATTGACAAATAGTCAGACAAATTAAATGTAAGTGACAAGGCAGCACTATCCCAATTGGGCCAGTAATGATCCGGTCTACTGTCCCAAGTGTCTCTCACGCTGGCCCTGGGCCACCGGGCAGTCCTTATTGTTGAGCCCTGGTAATAATAATGTCTTGTTGGCATAGATGCATCCACGCAAATGTACTTAACGATTGTAACTTTTTTTTTTACAGGGTCCTCCAGCAGTTAAGACAGGATCACAGTAGGGTTTTGTCTTCAGATAGGACACCCTTCTCTTCATTAAATGATGTCATTGACAGATTACTGCCCTATCATGTTTTCCAAGGCTCACCACCACAAGATGAAGACTTCGCCAAAGGTGCATTTTCAGCATGGCCTTAACATTATTCATCTTTAAATAGTTACTGAATAAATAAGCTATTGGTTTTTACAGTGGATGAGGAGTTTGAGGCAGTTGCGACACAAGTGTTAAGCAGAACTCAGGCCATGGTGAACAAATACAGGCGCCTACTCATGGTGGAGGCAGAGGTATTTTCACAACAGATCGAGCAAAACATGTTATAGGTCATTTCTAAAGTGTCTTTTGCATTATTCAAACCGTTCACTGGTTAATGCTCTTTCAGAGGTCCAGCCCTTCATCAGAAATGGTGATGATTGACAGGACTTTTAACCAAGAGGAAAGGGGCAACTTGACTCAAGACAAAAGGATGGTGCTAGTGGATCCAGGTAAGGGATGTTTGGATTATTTCATTAAAAGTAAAGTAAAAAGGACCAGAAACAGGGTTTTTATGCTTTTAAAAAGAACAAAATCTACAGACATATTAATTCAAGGCCTGGAAAGTACTTAAAAGGCCCCTATTATACATTATAAATGGTCATATTTTGGTTTTGGGGGTCTCCAACAACAGGCTGATATGCATGCAAGGCTGATATGCATGCAAAACACTTTCAATGTCTTACAATATGCATTTATTTTTACCTAATTATCCCAACGACTTCAATATGATGTGTTCAGCGATTCATTTGTTCCCAAATCCCTCCTTTGCTTGAGACTAATCTGAGCTGATTGGTTGACTGCATTCAGTGCGAGACAAAGAGAAACACCCAGCACGCTTATGAAGTATTCAAAGCACACAGTACATGTGTGAGGCCATTGCAGCAATGCAATAAAGCAATGCAGTTATACACCTGGGGCTTCATGTACGAAGACTTGCGTGGAAATCATACTAAAACATTGCGTACGCACAAAGCTGTAAATGCCGAATCTCACGCATATTCTTTTGTACATCCGAATGAACATGAAACTGAGCGCAACATGCACGAGCACAAAACCCCTCCCTGCCTCCTCCCCCGTATGAATATGCTAATGACTCTACTTTGGCAAAACCCAACGAAAAAGCAATGGCAAAATCAAGCAAGAAGAGAAACTTTGAACAGAATGTGAATTGGAGGTGCTGCTTTCGGAGGTAGACCGGAGAAAAGCGGTGGTATTTGCAAGTTTGTTCTCCGGAGTTAACAACAAAAGATAGAGTGGGAGAGTTTAGCTGATGCGGTTAAAATAGTTGGGTCTGAACATCGCACTGAGTGAATTAAAAAAGAAATAGTGTGTTTATAGGTGTAAAATGTTGCAGTACTCTTAACAGTCTCAGTGGCGCAGCTCGTAAGACGCATGTCAACATGTTTTGACACGTTCGAGCATGAACTCTGTTTGAATCCAGCGTCTGATAAACTCTTTCTTCTATTTTCCCCCGCTACATATCAGATTTTGCCAACTATTTATCACGAGAAAGACAAGTAGGAATCATTAATAAGTTTGTGCATCATATTTTATTTGCACATTTATTGAATGGAAATGTTTCTGATTCACGCATGAAAATTCATCTTCAGATAGTGTCTTTATAGCAATGTGCGTGCAGTAGATAGCTCCCATTACATTGGGAAAACAGGCGACCACTGCAAATTGTGCTTTAATGTTTGGCTGCTCAACTGTATGGTATGGAAACCTTATATACCTGCTAGATGAACCCGTCTCATACAGCTGGCTCAGACACTTTGTAGAGAGGAATTTTGAAATAGTCCATAAAGATTTAACCTGAGAGATACATTACAAGCACTGATCTATAATCGATACGCGATTACAAGCCACGCGGAGTGATTACAAGTTACAACACACAATTAAATAGATATTTTGGAAACTACAGAAAACCATTTTAATCACACTTCACATTGTGTAGGAAGGAGAAAAACTTACAGGATCTGGAGGAAGAACTGGTCCATACAAACGGTGTAACAGTTACTGACAAAGTCCCATACATTAGTAGTCTTTGCTGATCTTTCCTTAAATAACAAATGGCCAGTGAATCTTGCGCTGCAGGGTAGGTTATTGTATCAATCATCAGGAACAAACACAGCACTAGGTTGGCTATACTGTGGTGTTGTTATGAAAATTAACTTTAACTCTTTATTCCCCGCAGCCACATGTCTGGCCATCTCTCAGTGATAGTAATCTTTGTGTCATGATCAATCCCATGATCCCTCGCTCTCCGCTAGTGTCTGAAAGGAAAGGCACATTCACGTTTTATTGGATGCGGCAGTTCATATTTAGTATTGTTTTGTGTCGACGTCGATACGAACAGCCAAAAGATCCAGACGAACAATGAATCATTTGAAAGACTCTGAGTCAAATCTTTTATTAAAAATCTATATTTTTAAACAAGGTGCATTTTCAGATTTAATCCTCAGATGGATGTTTTCATTCACTTACAGCTGTGTTCCATACTGCATGGAAGGTATTTTCAAAAACCCATAATAGGGGCTCTTTAAAAACAAACACGGGTCCTTGAATGTGCTTGAAATGAAAGTTTATGGTGTTATTTCAACAATTGTACTGTGCTTCTTTCAAAAACTAAACAAACACCTAAGAAAGTCTTCATTTTAAAATGTTGAATTTAAATCTTATACAAGAACTATGACAAATAATGCATTTGATCAATATTTCAGAAACCGCATTTGAATATTACCAGTATTGAATTCAACTAATTGAATAAATTTTTTTAAAACATGACTAAAAATCACCCACTCAAAACAAAAATGATCATTTCTATGACATTTTAATGTAAATATTAAATGTAGGTGAAATGTCAAGTACAGGAAGGACTTTCATGGCACTATAAATGGGGGGAGGGGATGTGAATTACAAAGGTTTGTGATTCAAAAAGTACTTGAAAGTCCTCGAATTTGTTGTCCCTGAAAGAGTGGGAACTGTAAGAAAGTGTAGAATCATGTTATGAGTTACTAATATCTCATAACATGAAACTAATAGCTATAGGTCCAAACAAACTGAGAATTTTCATGTTGTATCTCTCAAATGCACACTGGAGAGTTTGCCACTATGATGTTGTGTGCTTGATTGCCTGTATATTTGTAACATTTCGACACATCGTTCTCTCAGATAGCTTCCTGGAAGAATTCTGCTGCGGCCCTAAACGGAAGATCCCAAGTCCTGAAGTCTTGACCCCAGCCTCGCATGAGGACAAGCCAAGCAAAATGGAAACCTCCCCAAGTCATTCCATAAGTCACACTGGAAGAGATGGGCAGAGTATGAACAGCCACACAGAAACCACTTATAGGACAGAATCTCAACAGCAAGAAATGGAAGAACACAGAAGAACTCCAATAAAATGCATCCTGGACCTTAAAAAAAAGACCTCCAACAGCGTATTCGGCAGCAAAAGTCAACACGCCCAGTACCCTACATCTCCCAACCAATCACAGCAAAGCTCTGCTCAAGGCTACCCTTCAAACCCGGGTCACGAACAGAAGCTTTCCTCAGATCCCGGTCACGTCTCATTGGCTGATTCAGACTCAGTGCTGGAGGCGGCCGTCAACAGCATCTTAGAATGTTAGACTGTGCCATATTTATGTTGGTTCCATGTTCTCATTTCATGCCACGTGTGTGAGCTGATCAGACGTATGTTGGCATTATCGCGGTTTAAAATGCACACTATGGCTGCGTCGAGGGTAAAACCGATAGTGATACTCTAATACTGTGCCTGTTGAACTAGAGAAGTTTACATGAGAAAGCCTTTTTGACAGTGCTTCACAGGATACACTTGCAATCACACAGTGATATATGCACACACATACACACAATCAAGCAGTTAGTGTGAGTTTCTTGGAATGTCGAAAGTAGACATTCGATAGTTGTAGCTTATCAGACAATATCAAGACACTTTGTTCATCATTAGTCAATCCGCACTTAAGGTTGTAACACTTATGTTGTATCATTGCAGTAGACCAAGTGAGGCACACAAACACACCTGCGCGTTTAATTGTTTGAGCATAGATTATGCTCGTTTTATTTGGTTTACTTTTGATTTGCAATTAGTTTTGTACCTTACAGGTATGTTACCTCTCCACAGAGACAAGACGCACTTGTGTGGGTTTTGTGCAAGGGGAAAGTTAAGTCCTCAGATTGAGGGTACAATGTTACATTGTTTGTCTTTTTTTCTTTGATTTAATTCATTTATATAAATGATGCATTATAATTTTTTGCTGGAGAAATTACGTGCTGTTGTGCACCTTAAGTTAGTGTCACATGAGTGAGAGTCACATTTCAACTAAGAATCGAGAGAAAGGAAAAGAAGAGAGAAAGACACCTAGTTTTAGGATCCCAGCAAACAATTGTGTTTAAAAGGCATCTAATAGACATCTATTAGCCTTGTTTTAGCCTAAACGACTATGTTTAGACGCCTATTACACATCTATTAGCCTTGTTTTAAGCAAAACTACTATGTTTAGACATCTATTAGCCTTGTTTTAGCCAAAACGACTATTTTTAGATGTCTATTATTAGACATCTATTAGCCTTGTTTTAGCCCAGATGACTATGTTTAGATGTTTATTAGACATCTATTAGTCTTGTTTTAGCCAAGACAACTATGTTTAGACGTCTATTAGACATCTAGTAGCCTTGTTTTAGCCAAGACAGCTATGTTTAGACGTCTATTAGACATCTAGTAGCCTTGTTTTAGCCAAGACAGCTATGTTTAGACGTCTATTAGACATCTAGTAGCCTTGTTTTAGCCTAAATGACTATGTTTAGATGTTTATTAGACTTCTATTAGCCTTGTTTTAGCCCAGACGACTATGTTTAGACGTCTATTAGATATCTATTAGCCTTGTTTTAGCAAAGACAACTATGTTTAGACATCTATTAGCCTGTTTTAGCCAAGATGGCTATGTTTAGAAGTCTATTAGACATCTAGTAGCCTTGTTTTAGCCTAAACGACTATGTTTAGCTGTCTAGTAGACATTTAGTAGCCTTGTTTTAGCCCAGACGACTGTTTAGACATCTATTAGCCTGTTTAAGCCTAAACGACTATGTTCAGATGTCTATTAGACATCTATTAGCCTTGTTTTTGCCAAGATGGCTGTTTAGATGTCTGTAAGACATCTTTTAAAAACAAAAAATGTTTCCTGGGATTAGTACCTTTTGACAATGCAGTATTTTTTATGACAATTAAGCCTATTTCAATCAAATTTTCATTATCAAATTTCTGTTGCTTATGCATTGAACCATCATAATCTTGATATCAAATCTTGTTTTAATA